TCCCTATTTTCTTTGGACCCCTGCCAATGTGACCAGTGTTGACATGTATAGCCGATGGTCGTCATTGCAACGCTGGCTGTGTCCAAATTTCATTTCAATTCAATTTTATTTTATTGTATAGCGGTAATTCATAAAAGAAGTTATTTCTCAGGACACTTTTTCAAATAGAGCAGGTCTAGAACCGAACTCCTTTTTAATAACATTTACAGAGCCCAACAGGTACCACCATGAGCAAGCACTTTGGCGAAGGGGGCAAGGAAAAACTGGCTTGTTAAAAGGCAGAAACCTAGGACAGACCCTCGGGCTTCTTAGGTGGATGTTCGACTCGTCTGCCTCGACCAGTTGGAAGTGGAGAGGGAGAGGAGAGACAGACAAGGAACAGACAGAAGACAGACGGCACAGCAACAACAGTAGCAAAACTAACTAATATTGTGACTGATTGATGATGAACATTAATAATTACTTATAATAAAATAATATAAACACTAATATCAGTGATATTAGGCAATGGCAGTCAAGGGCAGGACCATGGCAGGAGGCTCCACCAGGATCCATGAGAACCTGCGAGACGAGAAAAGCACAAGAAGACTCCGGGGAAGAAGTGAATTAGTAACATGTATTACTGAGCCGTGAGCGCGGTATGCCAAGAAGCCCTTATATTTATTTGAGGATCTCAGGGACCTTTGAACACAATAGGGCTGTACAAGGTCAGGCGATGTATATTGGGGCCAGCCCATTTAGTGCCTTAAAAACAAATAATAACTTTTGAAATGAAATCCTAAAAGAACTGGGAGCCAGTGCAAGGAGGCAGAATGGACGTGATGTGCTCACGCCCTCCTGGTGCCAGTTAAAAGAAGACCGCAAGCTGCGTTTTGGACCAAGTGTAGACGTCTAACGTGAGTTTATGGGGGAGGCCAAGATAGAGGGACATTGCAATGTCCAGCCGTGAATGTAATAAAGGCATTGATTAACTTCTCAAGGTCATTGGTGAGGATAGGAAGGATTTGGAGAGCGGGAAGATCATTCTTGAGGCTGGTAAAAAATATTTTTGACAACAGAGCTAATTCTGTTTGTCAAAGCAGAGGTTCAGGTCGGAGAATGACACCCAGGTTTCTGGCATAGGGTTGACAGAAGGGGGTGAGGTAACCTAAGTTTTGCACTACAGTGCCTCTTGCTTTGGGAGACCAAAAATGATGACTTCTGTCTTGTCACTATTTTAGCTGGATGGAAGTTGTTTGCCATCCAGTTTCTGATGTCTCAAGACAGACCAGAAGAGGATCTGTATGGGAGTCCCTAGGAATTTTAGGGGAGGCAAGTACAGCTGTGAGTCTCCGCATAGAGGTGAAAGGAGATGTTATGCTTTTTTATAATGTCACCCAATGGAAGCATATACAGGCTGAGAAGAGCATTATGACCCAAGGATGGACCCCTGAGGGACCATTATGGAGACGGGAGCAGATGATGAGGGAGAACTTGGACCAATAGGACACAGAGAACGTCCCTATAGTAGCCCTGCTTCACGAAGAATCAGTGTCTCTAGTTGGGGTTAATAGGGTACTATGAGCTCTTTTAAGATATGAAGGGGGCCTGACCATGAAGAGCTTTATAGGTGATAGGGAGGATTTAAATTCTATTCTTAATTTTTACAGGGAGCCAGTGCAAAAGGGAGTTGCAGTAATCCAGCCTGAAAGTAACAATTGGCATGGATTTAGTTTTTCTGGATCTGTCTGTTGATAGGATGTGTCTAATGGTTTCTCGTAATTATTGCATAAAGTTAAAGAGGCGCGTGCTAGAGTCTGCTCTATGGGGAACTTAGAATGACAAAATCCTGATCAAAGATAAACTCCAAGATACATGCAGTGGTGCAGGAACTACGGAGTCCGACATTGTTTTAGCATAATTACACACTGACTCCACATTAATTTTAGTGACCTCCGATTGGCGTAATCGGGTGTCATTACCGCCGACGTGAATAACTATCTTACTATATTTACGTTTATCTTTAGCCAGCAGTTTTAAATATGATTCAATATGGCCGGCTCTGGCCCCAGGGATATATTTAACTGTTGAGCTGCCAATAACCATGTAATCTGATTACAGTTACTAATAACCTGTTAAAAAAATGTAGTCAGTTATAATCCAAGGATCAGAATATTGTAGTTACTTGATTACTTTGTTACTTTTGTATTACCTCAACTACAAATATGTAGCCCTAACCCTAACCCTATGCCTAAAAACATCCCAACATGCGTCATATATTTTTGTAAAAGCTGCTGTGAAATCAGAGACCTGACCTCTAAAAGCAGAACAACTGAAAACTATTAAAATATTATGGGTCATAAATGATGATCTTTAATTAGTGAATAATACAAGATATTATCAGGAAAGATGGAAGAAGTCAGAGGAGTGTTAAAGTAGTTTAAACCCCTGAAGCAGTTCGATCTTTTTCTGTGGTGTTGTGGTTTGGAAACGTCTCACTAAAGAACAGAAACTCCCTCAGTCAGACTGTCAAATGATCAATAGATCAATCGGTGAGCGTCTCAGCACAGCAGACACCGTTCACTGTGCAGACGCTGAACTTGAGCTTCTTCCTTCTTGGTAGAGGTCTTCAGTTCCTTCTTGGCGGAGGTCTATATTTCCTTCTGGGCAGAGGTCTTCAGGTCCTTCTTGGCTGAGGTCTATATTTCCTTCTGGGCGGAGGTCTTCAGTTCCTTCTGGGTGGAGGTCTTCAATTCCTTCTGGGCGGAGGTCTATTGTTCATTTGGACGGAGGTCTATATTTCCTTCTGGGCGGAGGTCTATTGTTCATCTGGGTGGAGGTCTATAGTTCCAATGTGTGGAACAAAGCGGAATAAAACAGCTTTATTCCAGCAGCGATCGTTCAGATCAACAAGTTTTAGTTTTTAATCTGCATGTTTACCTTATTTATTCTTTTGGTTATTTATTCTTTTGGTTATTTATTCTATTGGTTATTTATTCTATTGGTTATTTATTCTACTGGTTATTTATTCTACTGGTTATTTATTCTATTGGTTATTCATTCTTTTGGTTATTTATTATACTGTTTTTTTATTCTATTGATCTCTCTTTGGAAATCCTGATTTTTAGAGCCGGGAGCACTTTTATCTTTTTCATCTTTGTATTGTGTTTGTTGTCTGAGTTGTTGTTGTTTTTATATTGTTGTCAAAAGGAATTCCTTTAACTGCAAACCAAATCTACCTCTGGGTACAAATAAAGTCACCCTAAGTGACACTTCCTGTCAGCAGAAGAACACACAGAAGAGACTTCAAAATAAAATTTAATCAACAATTAACAAAATAAAATTATTTTTAGAAAACAGTTGAATATCTTCAAAGCAACCAATCAGCTGACACCATCACAGCTCACAGAGCTCAATCATTTGACGAAGAATATATGAGACCAAACAGGAAGTAAACAGGAAGGAACACAAACGTCATCCTTCGCCAGCGTTCTTGGACGGAAATGAACTCTTCTGTGTCGATCAATTGGAGACGAGACTATAAAAGAGTCCGATCAGGGGGCGGAGCTGTGTCATGAGTCACCGCCTAGGGGGCGGGGCCAGCAGCTGTGTGGCGGTGGCGGACTCTGGAAACAGGTTGTGGTAGGTGGGCAGTGGGACATACGCCGCCGTGATCATCTTACCTGAAGCAACAGGTGAGATGTCAGAGCTGCTCTCTGATTGGCCCACAACACACAGCACGTGTCATGTGACAGGAAGTCTTACCGGCAAAGTATCTTCCGTGTAGAGCGTTGACGGCAGCCATGGCAGCGGGGATCGACGGACACTTGACGTAGACATTTCCCTGAAAAGGAGCAGAGGTCAGAGGTCTGATTTAACAAAAGTGACAAAGGGGGTTAGAGGTCAGACAGGTCAGAGGTCAGACGGTACCTCAGCAGAGTTCTTGTCGACGTAGATGTGAACGATTCCTCCATGTTTGTTACACTCCTCTATGACATCATGCTGGATGTCCATCTCCCAACCAGGAACCTCCTCACTGCAACAGACAGACAGACAGGTGTATCCACAGACAGGTATATCCACAGACAGGTGTATCCATAGACAGGTATATCTACAGACAGGTGTATCCACAGACAGGTATATCCACAGACAGGTGTATCCACAGACAGGTATAGCTACAGACAGGTATATCTACAGACAGGTATATCTATAGACAGGTATATCCACAGACAGGTGTATCTACAGACAGGTATATCTACAGACAGAGACAGGGTATCCACAGACAGGTATAGCTACAGACAGGTATATCTACAGACAGGTGTATCCATAGACAGGTATATCTACAGACAGGTGTATCCACAGACAGGTATATCTACAGACAGGTGTATCCATAGACAGGTATATCTACAGACAGGTGTATCTACAGACAGTATATCTACAGACAGGTGTGTGTTTACCTGTTGAGGTGAACATGTTGGACAGTTGGAAGCAGTGGTAGTGGCGAGAGGCTGAGAGGAAAATTCAGAGCTGCAGA